CCCATGGTTTTACAAGTTTTAATGTTTTAATAATAAGATTCTTTTAATATTTCAAAAAAATAATAATAAGAGTCTTTCGACGAAGACCTCATCCACTAGTTTGGAGTTTGGACTATACGTATTACTTACGCACCGTTGCCAATTGCGAACCAGGAAAAATTGCAATTCCTATAAATATATAGTCCATTTCTTGGCCATAACGGTATGACCCCAAAAATAAAATGAGAAAAAATTGTGTTCTTAATCTTATCTCCTTCCCTTGCTTTCTTCTCTTTCAAACTTTCGACACCATTAACGCGGCTTGTGAAGGCAGTTTATTCGCCGTAAACAGCACTTACAGTGAAAACCTAAACTCTCTCTTTTCTTCTCTTGCAAGTAACGTAACCACTACCAACGGCTTCTTCAACACTTCAATTGGAGAAGGCTCCAACAAAATCTACGGTCTTGCACTTTGTGGACGAGGCTACAAGAATCAAGCTTGTGTGAATTGCGTGGAACAAGCGTCTCAAGAATCGCAAAACAGATGTCCGAATCTAATGAACACGTTCAGGTGGACTACCAGAGACATTGACAATGTTTCTTGCCTTGTACGTTACGCTAATAACTCTGTTTTGCGGAAACTCGAGCTTTGGCCAGCTACTTTGTCAGATAATCCTTTGAACATAGAGTCACCAAAGAGCATTATACTTTTTCGACGAGAATGGGAAGCATTGGTTAACCTCACAATGGAGTCAGCTACATTGGCTCCTGAGAATTCCTCGGTTGTGCACAAGTTCTATAGTGTTATAAGAGCAGAGTTCACAGAATTTGCAGATGTTTACATGATGATGCAATGCACTCCTGACATTTTGTCTAGTGAGTGCAGGAGATGTCTTAGGCAGTGTGTGTTGAACTTTCAAAACAATAATTGGGGAAGCCAAGGCGGTGCGGGTCGGCTTCCGAGCTGTTATTTCCGGTGGGATCTTTATCCTATTTCTGGTTCTTCTGAGAATATGACTAAAGTCTCTATGATTAGTCGTGTTTCCAGTCTTCCTCAAGGAGATACTAACATACAACCTAGAAATGCGAAGAAAGGTGAGCTATGATTTAGTTAAGTTATATAATCTTCTCTTGTTGGTTATAAATGATTGATG